TCACTAGAGAGAGAGAGAGAAAGTGAGAAATCACCCCTCAGGGGGATGGCCACGCTGTAATCCCTTCTCCCTTCTCCTTCATTCTCTCTTGTGATTTTGGGCATGCATGCACAGGAGTCCTGCCTGTTTTTAATTTGCTATAGGGCACATGCACTCAGGAGAGAGAGAGAGAGAGAGAGAGAGAGAGGGAGAGAGAAAGTGAGAAGCAAGCGGCTAGGTCCAGGACTTGAACCACGTTTGGCCACGTGGGAGTCCAACATCTCAACCACTATGCCACCTGTTGACCTCCAGCCTGCCTAGGTCCTGGACTTGAATTATGAAGTTGGCCATATGAGATCCAGAGCCTTAATCATGCCACTTGCTGGCCCCTTTCCTGAGACTTATTTACCAATACACTGTCTCTCGCTAAATATCTTCCAACAATATGATTTTTATTTATTTTTTGCCAGATGGTGTGTGTGCTGGTCAAAGAGACAGAGACAGAGAAAGATGGAGAGGAGAAAGCATTTCTCAAGCTGCCAGGTCCGGGACTTGAACTGCGTGCATGGCCAAGTGAGATCTAGTTGCCTTAACCATCATGCCACAGAGCTGGTCTCCCAGTGTGATTTTACTGCATGATGGTCTATTGTCCAGCTGCCGATGAATTGTTTAGTGGTTCCCCTCGAGGTTGAGCAGTTAGGGTGTCCTGAGGTGAGCAGTGTTACTGAGCTACCCCATTATCCCTTCGAGGTAGAGGAATGGGAGGGATTATTGCGATAAAGTGAACACGCTGAAGGTTGTTCATTCAGACTTCCGTCAGCAATGGAGCAACCAGCTTGCTCTCTGTCCAAATCTTGATGACATGGGGTACTATCATATTTAAAAACCTTTCCTGAGGGCCAGTAAGTGGTGTACTGGTTAAGATGCTGGACTCTCACATGGCTGACGGAGGTTCAAGTCCTGGACCTGGCAGCTTCCTCCCTTTCTCTCTCTCTGTCTCTCTCTGGTGAGTGTGCGTGTCCTATAGCAAATTAAAAACTAATAATAAATAACAATCGAATCAATAATTACACAAAGACCCATCCCTCATTTTTAGTGGGCGAATGAACTCAGCTCACTGACACTTCGTAATCGCAAATACGATCTTCCGCACACGAATGCCGTCTCGTTAAGGTTTTGCAATCACAAACCCACTGTCTACTTGCCGGCGTAAACCAGAACTAAAAACAAGGGAGAAAATCTTACAGCCGAGGCATAAATCCAATTTGTTCAAAGATGAGGAGAAAGGAATGATCAATGCCCAGAAATCACATCTTTTGTCTGAAGCTGCTTAACTTTTAATCATTTCACTGACTCACAGACCCCAGAGCAACACAGTTAACAGTGCGGCTCTTCCTACCGGCCCAGCAAGCACAGACCCAGAGCTGGGGGCCGCCTGATGCACCATGTGAAGGGACACCACAGCCCGAAGGCACTGTCTCCACAGCCTGTTGATCCTGTTACAGGGTGAGGGGCTCCTAACAGAGTTTGTTCCGGGCGACTGGCAATACAAAGATCCGGGATGTACTTAAGCTTGGTGCCAGGAATCTGGGTCGGTTCCCCGGGCTGCGATTTCGTTTGATCTCTCTCCATCAAAAGTCTTCTTAACAGATTATTGAGACACTCACATGCCACAGAAGACACCCGTCTGAAGTAGAGCAAATCAGTGGATTTTGTACAGTCACTGTGCTGCGTAAATGTCACCATGATCCAATTTTAGGACGTTTGTATCATCCTTAAAAGAAACTCCACACTCATTAGCCGCCTGGGCGACCACTAAGCTACTTTCTGTCTCTGTCAATGGTCGTTTATGGTAAAAGAATCCCTGGAATTTACTTGGAGTCACCTCTCCTTTGCCGTGACAAGGCTGAAAGATCATAGAGAACCAGAAAAACCACAATGAGAGTCCCAGGAGGTCTCCAAGCCCAGGAGAACAGGTTGGGAAACACAGCAACCCCGGCAGGACTGCTGCTGAAGACGCACCGTGCTGAGGGCTGATGCACCGTGCTGAGGGCTGACGACCCGGGTGCTGACATTGCTGAGGCCAGCTGGCCCCTCTGAACTGGGGTTCACAGGCCTTTCCTGATTCAAGGGTTCTACCCTTAATTAATTGCAATTCTTCTCAAGCCAGAAGAGTGACTTTTATTGTGAATTTGGGCCCCACTGTTCCTGGGTAGGAAATGACCTAGACCACTCTGTGAAGACTTGTTTCAACTCCCAAATGCAGCTCCCTGCTAGGGGGCACACCGCAGAGCTATTCTCTAGAAAATTCCTCAGATGTGTAAGTGTGAGAAAGTCACCCAAAACCAGGACAAAAAACCCCAAAAAAAACAAAACAATGCCTCCAACACTGGGGGCAGCAAGGGAAGGAAATTTGCTCTGCGGTTGCTAAACTTAATCCGAATAAAGCTCTTCTTGGAGGCAGTCAAGCGGCAGGGCCCAGCCTGCCTGCGACTACGCACACAAGTTAATCACCTTGCCCCGTGCGGTCAGCTGTCCACCACCTCTGGAGAACTCTGGGAGCAGTCATTATGTTTGCAGCAGATACTCCCAAACACGGCGACTGCTCCCGGCGGTCTGTGATTATGTACCTCGCAGGAGACACTTCTACTGGTGTGTCATCCTTGCACGAGCTAATCTCATGGTCTGCTCTCTGACTTGGGGGCGATGGTGCCTGGTGTTCACGAACCAGTCATGGCAAAACTGCAGCGGGAGGGGAAGGGGGGGTCATTCTATGATTTCTGCAAATTCCTAAGTTTTTAATGGGGTGCAGAACGAGTCCCTTGGAAACCACAAGATTCAGATTCGATGCGGCTAGCGGGCGGGCATGGCTGGGGAACGACGCCCTGTCTGGGGCCCTGGCTACCTGCTGTCTCACACAGACAGCTCCAGCTAGGTCATATCTGCTGTGGGACGGCTTCCAGGACAAAGAGGCTTCTGTGTGTCTGTCAGATGAGGGTTGGTGGTGCTGGACTGAGAACATAGAGCACATGATTGTAACATGCCCAAGGGAGAGCAGGGAGAACGCGCGATTGTAACATGCCCGGCAGAGAGCAGGGGGAATGGGCGATTGTAACATGCCCACGGAGAGCAGGGGGAACGCACGATTGTAACGTGCCCAATGGAGAGCAGGGGGAATGGGCGATTGTAACATGCCCGTTGGAGACCAGAGGGAACCCACGACTGTAACATGCCTGACGGAGACCAGGGGGAATGGGTGATCGTAACATGTCCGATGGAGACCAGAGAGGGATTTTCGCAGCTGGAATGAGGGTTTGGGAGGCAGCGCCTGGTGAGCCACCCACCGTCTCGGATCGTGAGGATACACGCTGTCCCTAGGGTGGTTTCTGCTACCTTTCCTCAGCAAAACCTGAATTCAAATGACTGAGAGGAGGAAAGAAAAGAAAACTAACATTTAGTTGATGTCTATTCTTTGCTAGGAAGTAAGAAACAAAACAAATTTTTGATAGGGTACCTGTGCTCACAGGAGAGAGTCAGAGAGGGATTTTTTTGTTTTTGTTTTTTTGAGAGGTTTTTGCTATAGGGCGCTTGCCAGACAGACAGAGACAGAGAGATAGAAAGTGAGAAATCACCCCCCAGGGGGGATGGCCACGCCGCAATCCCTTCTCCTCCATTCTCCTCTCGGGATCTTGGGCACGCACGCACACGCGCCTGGCATGAGTTTAAGCCACCGGGTCCGGGACATGAACCGCGGTTGACTACGTGGGAGTCCAGCGACATAGCCACTATGCTAACTGCTGGTTCCCTCAGAGAGGGATTTTTGATGGCCACACTGCAATCCTTTCTTCTCCAACCTCCTCTTGGGATTTTGGCTATATATGCACCGTGCCCTGCATGATTTTCATGACGCCAGGTCAGGGACTCGAGCTGTGGTCAGCCATGTGGGACTCCAGGGCTGGACCACCATACCATTCATTCCCTCCTAAAAACCTTCTACTCTGGGCTCAGTTCTGTGTATTAAACCCGAGAGCCCCTTGGAAAAAGGTTTAAGTGTGCAGAGGAACTGATAATGCTGAGTCTTACTGCAGCCAAAGAGCCAGCGAAGATGAGCCAGGCTGGCCCGACCTGTGGCCTAGCAGTCAGGGAGCCAGAGCCCACATGGCCAGTCACACAGCTGGGGTCCCAGCCCTGGTAGCTTGAAAAACACACTGGGCACATTTGTGTGCATGTCCAAAGTCCTGACAGGATGGAGACAGAAGAGATTGTGGTGTGACCATGCCCCACTGGGGCGTGCCTGTTCCCGTTCCCCGTCTCTCTCCTGAGAATATGCACTCCCTGGCAAAATTAAATCAATAAATAATAAAAAGATTAGCTAACACGGCAGAGAAAAGCTCAGGCATTACTAGCCTCAGAAGCTGAGGTGAGATAAGGGCCAGGGGGTGAGGAGACAGTGGAGGGTGGTAGGAGAACGCAGGGCGACAGGGGCTTCCACTTACTCCTTCTGAGCTCTGAGAACTGCCTGGGGCGATTCGGCTTACACTAGTGGGGGCAGGTGTGGAGGCTTTCCTGATGAAGGGGTGAAAGGAATGTGGACGCTTCCCTGAGATGACTCTTACGGGAGGTGAACGTGGCCATCCCTGGCAGCAGCCAGTCTCTGGACAGAAGGGAAGTGAAATTCCCGGGATAGTAGGACTTTGGACCACTGAGTGGCAGCTCTATAATGGCCACCCCTACTCCAGGGCCGTAACTGAGGAAATGAAAGGGAAGGGCCCCTGTGTCATCAAAAGTGAAAGGTTCCGTGGTGAATGATGTTTGTGTTATCATTTTTGTTCATTTGGTATAGGGCATGTGTGCACACCAGAGAGAGACAGGGGTTGGGAGTGAGCAATCACCCCAGGCAGATAGCCATGCCACCATCTCTTCTCTATTCCCCTCTGAAGATTTTGGGCACGGGGGGTGTGATTTTTCAAGCTGCCGGGTCTGGGACTCGAACCACACGCACCTGCCGGCCCATCTATTACCTTAATGCCGCTTCTTTTCCTGTGCTTTTTGCTTCTTTCCAGTTGGAGCAGATAGCCTTCAGAATTGCTGCGGCTCATTTTCATTTGGATTCTTTGGCTTCTCCCTGAACTGAGCTGGGACTCGCTCTCCACCCGTGGCAATATGGGTGGCAGCGTGACGCCGGACAGGGCCGCTGGGCCGGGCTGCACCTCCGTCAGCTGCTCCAGGGCTTGCTGGTGCTGCTCCATTATCTGAGAGAGCCGGGAATCCGGGGACACGCCACTGGGCTGGCTGTCAGCAGAAGAGCCGAACTTCCTTGAGGGGGAAACGAACACCATCTGTTAACACAATCTGACTCATGAGACTTCTGGCGTGAAAGTCTTCATGAACTATTTATCTGTCGTATTTATCATTCCCTAAAACACACTCGCCACCTTGAGCTCAGTCTTTCCATGTGTACATTAATTTATCTGAAAATCCTCCTCGTTCCCTTTAGAACTTTTACTGAGTGCCTTCAGAATAAAAAAAAAAAAAAAAAAAGGCACCATTTGGAAAAGTCAAAGACTTTTCTGATAAAGAATACCTAGAAATGTCGGAGTCAAATAAATAAATGTTCTTCAAAAATGTAGTTGAGGAACCAGCAGATGGCATGGTGGTTAAGGTGCTAGATACTCCCACATGGCTGACCCTGGCTCAAGTCCTGGACCCAGTGGCATGCTTTCTCAGTTCCTCCCATCTTCTGTCAAATTAAAAATAAAGAAATGCATGAATAAATAAAATGTAATAAACAAACAAAAAAAGTAGTTGAATTTATAAAAGAGAATGGGGACTCTTCAAAAACCAAGACCCAAAAAGGACTAAAGCCAAACCAGATTTTGTATAGATGAAGCTATAGCTTTCTTGTGGGAGTGTGGGGGTGGGGGATGAGTAAAGACTCGAGGTTTTTTTTTTTTTTTTTTGGCTCTAGAGGGTGCAGGAGCTCGCCAGAGAGACAGAGGTCCAGGGAGGGTGTAGTGAGAAAGCACCCCGTGGGGGACGGCCATGACGTAATCCCTTCTCCTCCACTTCTTTGGGCATGCATATGTGACCGGCATGATTTTCAAGCCTCTGGGTCTGAGGCTGGAACTGTGTGGCTGGCCACAGGCCTTAACCAGCTGTCCGAACCACGTGCACCTGCCGGCCCAGGACTGGAGTTTTATCGTGAACAATGGCGCAGGATGTGTGAGACCCCCGTGCTGTGGGAGGCATGGGATTAGAGCTGAGCTTCCTGCATAAGCACCAGAACCCTCAGAGGACCGCATCTTCAGAACCGTGGTGGGTTATTTAAATCCATCCACCTGGGACCAGCAGATGGTATAATGGTCATGTTGCTGGACTCCTATGTACTTAACTGTGGTTCGAGTCCTGGACCTGGGGGCTTAAAACTCACGCCAGAAGTGTGTGCGTGCATGCCCCAAATCCTGAGAGGATTTAAAGATGACGGAAAAAACATTCCAGACCCACTAGTAATCCAAAGGAGGTTGAGGTAGCTAAGTTAATGAAGATCCAACAACAGAAACTTTAAACAAGAAGCATTTTTTGGAATAAAATGATTCATTGAAGTGTGATTCAGAGAACTCACCAGGAAGACATAGCAATGATAACTCTCATATCTAATCAGACAACTTAGAGAGAACTGGTCATCGGAGACGTCACGACACATTTTTGCACAGAAAAGCATAGAAAAATGTGTCATAACGTGCCAAGGACCCAGTACGTAACACACAAGTGGGGATCGTCAGGGAAAACTGGCCATTTGTAACCGTAGGGAGATGCCGGTTCACCACGTTCAGTAACGAACAGGCCAGGGAAAGTGGTGCTGTGGGCCCCCCGACGCAGCGCAGGCGGCCTGACGGAGCTGCAGAAACGCAAGCTCACCAGTCACAGGACACACGCTCTTCAAACACACGAGGAGCACTTGGAAGCCCTGACTGAGCAGTACATCAGAAGGCCAGTACTGGACCGGCAGGAGGCGTAGTGGGTAACGTGCTGGACTCCCATGTGGCCAACCTCAACTCAAGTCTCGGGCCTGGTGGCTTGAAAATCACGCTGTGTATGTGTGTATGTGTGTATGTGTGTGTGCCCAAAATCCTAGGAGGAGATTGGGTATGTGTGTGTGCACAAAATCCTAGGAGGAGATTGGAGGAGGAGGGATTGCGGTGTGACCATGCCCCTAGGGGGGTGATTTCTCACCATCCCTCTCACTGTCTCTCTCTTTCTGGTGAACACACACCCCCTATGGAAAAAACTTTTTACAAATAGCAAGTACCAAGAAAACATAGAACAATACCATGTGGATTGCATTCTCTGACCATAGTGCAACTTTGACGGCTTGTTTTCTCACTCTTTCTCTCTCTCTGTGTCTCTCTCTCTGGTCAAATTAAAATAAATAAATGAATAAATCAAATCAAATCAAATAATGCTTAAAAAAAATAAAGAAACGGAAGAAAAAAATCTTGTGGGATGCAACTAAAAATGCACTTAAAAGGAAATCTAATTTTAAATTATATTGGAAAAAAAGACAGATTTTAGAAATGCTAACCAGCAGTTAGCATAATGGCTATGTCGCTGGACTCCCACGTAGTTGACCGCGGTTCGCGTCCTGGACCCGGTGACTTAAAACTCACCCTGGGCGCGTGTGCGTGCATGCCCAAGATCCCGAGAGGAGAATAGAGGAGAAGGGATTGCGGCGTGA